TTGTTATCTCAGATTCTCCAGCATCTGCAGTTCCTACTGTCTCTGCATGTCTAACATTCAGTTTTACATGAGCCACAATTTCCTCCAACTCTGAGGTGGAAAGATGAAAGAAAGTTGTCAGCCCTTTCCAGGCTCCATCTTATTGGACTCTGAACGGTGCTGTGAAGCATTTATTTTCTCTTTTGCAAAGAATTTTACCTCTGTCACAGTCTCCATGTTGAAACCTGCCCATCTATTGCTGAAACCCTTATTTCTTCCTATGACTGGCACAGACTGAACTATTCTAGTACTTGGCTGAACAGTTTCCAAACCCTTTATCTTTTGTAAGTTTCAATGTATCTAAATCTTGTCTTTATCTTGCTGTGCACGATTAAAGGTATGGCATGAGTAATTGGATTCAGTTAATGGTCATTTGTAGATTGACAAGTAAATAGCATTAAAAATTCATGGACTGCATGAAAACGTAATTGTTTCATTAATGCCCTTCAAGGAAGGAAACTGTATAAAGTTAAGTTTATGTATGACTTGCATGTCCCATCTTCCATGTTTAAATCTTAATGCCCTTAAGGTAATGTGAAATGGGTAATAAATACTAGCTTGCTCATCCTGCCTACAAGATTGCGTCCTCACTGCTGCCTAGAACTGCAAGTTTAATCATCTTAACCTCAAGTTTAAATTCCTCTACGGCATTGCCTTTCCTAGCCCTTAAGTATGTCCCTTGCCCCTCAACAATTTCCCAGAATACTTCATTCTTCTGGTTCCCAGTATCTTTTGTTTTCATACCATTGTGTGTTCAATTCGTGAAGACCACATTCTGGGATGCTCTATCTAAATTTTTCTGTTTTCTTTAAAGAACATCCCTAACACCATTCTCATTGACTAAATGTTTAGTCACCCCTCTAATAATTTGTCCTTTGACAGTTCTGTTTTAGTTCATCTTTTAGTCCTCTGCACTTTGTTTTTAGTTTGCTAAAGAGATCATAAAAATGCATTTTGAAAAAGAGTCATGTTGGACTTAAAACATTTACTCTATTTTTCTCTCCATAGTTGCTGTTAGACCCGCTGAGTTTCACCAGCACTTTGTCTTTATTTCAAATATCTAGCATCCACAGCATTTTTGCTTTCATAAAAACAAAATGCATGTTGATAATCCAGATGGAAGTATCTCACCATCATTGTTAGTAGCCTGGAGATTTGTATTATGAGAGATGCACAAGTGAGATTTTGACATTAATTTCTTTTTATTTTGCAGAATAGTATCAAATGAAAATGTGAAATAACTAGCTTTAAGATGTGAATTTGCTATTTCTTCAAAGCTCTTTAGAATTATTGCTTGTATTGTTGATGGGAGTAGGAAAGCAAAAAAAATGCCAGATTGCAAAATTGATTTAGCAGATGTGAAACCAATATCCTTTTAAGAATGGAATATCCTTTCTCTCAGCTACAGCATAGTGGTATTGTGTTCTTGATTGAGTGGAAGAGATAATCATAAACGAATTAAATAGTAATATTATCCTTAGTTGCCCCCGAGATGGTGAACCACCTTCTTTTGAGATTTAGTACAATTGACTAGCTAGGTCACTTCAGAGGGCAGTTATAGTCAAGTAGGTTAATAGATGACTCCAGGCACTTAAGGATAATAGGTTTAATTCTCTAAAAGACATGAGTGAATCAGGTCATTATTTACGATAATCCAACAACACCACAGCCAATTTAGGAGATGTTTACTGTTTATTTTGGACAAAACCAGATTTGGCTTTTGTCTGATATGGTGGATTTTGATATTGTATTCTCAGGATTAGTAATCCAAATCTGCAGATTATTAGTTCAATAACAACCATTAAATACCTTTCAATTGATACTGTATTTACTCAGGAAAATCTTTCTCAAACTATTTCTAATTGCAGAAAACCATCACATTTATCAAAAATTTAAATTTCTATGCTCTGCAGTCTGGCTTAATAGCCAAAGTAGCTAATTAACCTGATCCAGACTTTTGCCAAAATTTGAGCATATTAGAAAGAACTGTCTGTTACAGTTGCTGCCCTGAAAATCATTCCCATCTCTAGTGTGTTAGACAAGAGTGTTGTAACAGTTTTGTTTTTTCAAACTGTCCCATTTTTATTAATATATTTACTAATACATTATTGTGCATTTTTTTGTTTCAGGGATTCTCTGTTTCTGAGCTGTGGTATGCAGTCTTTGACTTTGGTACGAACTATTGCAATTTGCACAACCTTATTGAAGGTAAGAAATGAAAATAACCATTAATACAAACAATTCTGTCATCGACAAGGTAGTTTTATTTCCTAACTTTATTCTGCTTTGTTTTTCAGGTAGTGGCTTAGACAAAGTTTCTGGCTACAGTGAATCAACAAGCGATTCAAAGTGCAGTCAATATTCATCAGCTAATTGTACAATTTACTAAACAAGGTGTGATTCAGTAATAACTAAGAATAATCAGGAATCTGCATAATGCTAAGCAACTCGGATACCAATTTTATGCACTTGTTTAAAATAATTGACTTCTTAGTGTTATAATAAATCTTTTTTCCCAGTAATAAACAAAGAAGCTCTGAGGGATTGAATAAATAAGCAAATTGTTGACACCATATTTAACAATGCCAGGGACCAAATATGACACAATTTAAATACTGGGTCCTTTTCTAGCTTAAATTTGAGCTTCTTGTCATTGAGTAGAAACATAGGTAACCTGGACCACAGTAACAAGCTACTCGGTCCAACTGGTCAATCTAGATGCGTGTACTCAAACAAGTGAAAGGGATAATAGAGAAATTTTTGACAAGCCACTTGGGTATTGAGAGTGGGATGTGGTCTTTCAACCACACCCTCGCACTAATTCTTTTTTGAAATATTCAAAAAATGATTTTTTTTCCCCAATTTTGACATCTAACATCAGTTTTACTTATTTCTTTTTTGATCCACAGCCTGCTTGACCATCTGGTTTGACCACATACCACCCCACCAACCTCTGCAGCCAGCACATCATTCTCCGCCACTTCTGCCACCTCCAGTCCAACCCCACCACCAAAGAGATATTTCCCTCCCTACTCCTATCTGCCTTTCGTTGGGATCGCTCAATCCACGACACCCTCATCCGCTCCGTACTCCCCACCACACCGGTACCTTTTCCTACAACTGCAGGAGGTATGACACCTGCCCCTACAACTTCCCACTTCATCTCCATCCAAGGCTCCAGACAAACTTTCCAAATCCGACAGGGATTCACCTGTGTGTCCTCCAACCTGGTCTACTGTACCCTTTGCTCCCAATGTAGAGGAGACCACATCGGTGAGACCAAGTGCAAACTCGGGGACTGATTTGCTGAGCATCTGCGCTCCGTACGCTATAATCAACAACACCTGCTGGTCGGCAACCATTTTAACTCCCCCTACCACTCCCTGGGTGACATGTCCATCCTGGGCCACCTCCAGTGTCATAACGACGCCACCCGCAAACTGGAGGAACAACACCTCATTCCGCCTCAGGAGCCTACAGCCCGATGGCCTAAACATAGGATTCACCAGTATTAAAATCTCCCCACACCCGGCCCAATCCCATGTCCAACCCTCCCTTTCATCCCTGCCTCCTTGACCTGACACAACCTGTCCATCTTCTCTCCCATCTATCCGCCCCACCCTTCCAACTGACCAATCCTCACTACCCCCTACCTGCACTCACCTATCACCGTCCCACTTACCTGTCCTGGCCACACCCTCCTATTTATTTCTGACCTCCCTTCCGCATCCCCAGTCCTGGTGAAGGGTGTAAACCCGAAACATCGACTTTCCTGCTCCCTGGCCTGCTGTGTTCCTCCAGCTCCACACTGTTATCTACGACTTCAGCATCTGTAGTTCTTGCTATCTCTTCTGTTTGAACAGACACTAGAATATATTGCCGCAATTCAAATGATTCCGTAACCTTTTTATGAAACGAGTTAGTTTGACAGTATAATATTTTAATTTGCTAATTTCACATAATTGGACCTTTTTGATGTTTAAATTACATGTTTTCTTTAGAACTAATTTTTTAAGTAAAGTTTTTTTAAGAAAGTGCAACTCTTTAACCTGGGTCTTATTATCTCTATATGCAGTGAGCATAACTCATGCCAGTGAAGCACATCAAGTGTTTTTCACATGCTTGACATTTATAATCTTTTTTGTGCAGTTTTCAAGACTACCTGTAGAAGTAAAAGATCCCGAGACTGTTGTTTATAACATTGTATATGCAGTCATAAGCATGGTTGGGTAGAAATTGGAAATTGTAAGTCTGCTACATAACACAATCTTAAGTGTAAACTAACTAAATATTGTGATGCTCTTATCCAGTAATATATCTGGAGGACTAATGAGTGGTTCTAACCTTTCTCCAAAGGTTTAAAGGAGACAGTCGTACATGGTAATGGCACTGTAATGTTAATGGCACTGTAATGTTAATCCAGTGGCCTGGCTAATGCTTTGGTAATATGGGTTCAAATTGTATTCAGATTTAAATTTGATTAATCAATAAATATTAAAGAATATTAAGCTAGTGTCAGAAATAGTGACCATGACAATGATCATTGATTGTTGTAAATACCAGTTTGGTCAATAAATGTCTTTTGTGGAAGAAAATCTACCATCCTGACCTGGTTTGGCCTACATGTGACTCCAGACCTCCAGCAATGTGGTTGTTTCTTAACTACCCTCTGAAATGGCTGAGCAAGCCACTCCATTTAATAGCAATTCGGGATGAGCATCAGAGACTGGCTTTTCCAACAGCATACACATCCAAAGAAAGACATTAAATTGTTGCTTCTATAATATGGCTTTGATTCATTGGACACTCTTGGTAGCAGTTAGGTTCTCAATTAGTTTTCTGCAGTGGAAATAGAAAATCCTGAAAAGTTTGTTTCTTAGTGTTGGATGGAGTTAATTGTATTGGCTGCACCTTTGTAGTTGTGATGGTGGACACCTCTGGAGGAGGCATCCTCAGATTGTTTACTGGTAGCTTTGGTTGAAGACCATTGTAAAAACAAAAATTCCCAGTCTTGCCTCCACCCCTTATATTAGACTGCATCCTCATTAGGAAGAGGCATGCCATGCACTTATTCACCTGGTTAATCACTAATTCTCAGACTGAAATAGAGGACCTACAAAAATTTATTCTGATTCATTAATAATGGAGTGTTTATGCCTCTCTATAGCCTGTTGTAGGTGTTTAGCATGCAGGTTTGGCATGAGGGTAGCACGGTGGATCAGGCAGCACTGCTGCCTCACAGCACCAGAGACCCGGGTTCAATTGCAGCTGCAGGCAGTGTGGAGTTTGCACATTCTCCCTATGTCTGCATGGGTTTCCTCTGGGTGCTTCGGTTTCCTCCCACAGTCCAAAGACGTGCAGGGATGCTTAAGTCAGCTGGGTTAGATGTGGGGAAATACAAGGGTAAGGGGATTCAGTTGGGGTGGGATGCTCTTTGGAGGGCCGGTGTGGACTGTTTCCACACTGTAGGGATTCTACAAGTTTCAGCTGGTTGTGTAGCTTAACTGTGCCTTATCTCAATGTATGGCTGTTTGGTGCTCACTTGAACTTCCATATTTTAGTTTGAGTCAGATGATCTCCTGAATTAACAGCAATTAGAATGAGGGATGTGTAAAGTTGGGTTTGGAAACTGTGATTGTACAGTTGTACTTCAATTGTCAATAGCTTCTTTAGTATATCCGGATTTAGACTGCTGGATCTCTCTTTAGTTTGAATCACTTAGATGGTAATGTCACACTGCAGAGTATATAGGTGAAGAGAGATGTCTCTGTACTAGTTTAATCATGTGATATTACTATGGATAGATGTATCTTCAACAGGTAGGCTGATGAGGTAGATATCAAGTGTGTTATCTTCTTTGGTTTCTCACTACTCAACTCCAGTCCATGGGTTGAGTCCTGAAAGGATGTAACTATTCAGTCCAACCGAGCCAATATTTGGTATTTGAAATCCTCACCCATGGTACATTCTGCTTCCTCATTCCCTTCACTTCCACCAAAATAAGTTCGGTGGGGCAGTTGTAGTATGGCACACTGACCTCTACATCACAGGCCAGGCACCAGCTCTGACACCTACCACCCCCCGACCACCAAAACATCACCTCAGGTGACCTCCCACCCACAGCCTCCAACCTCACTTTTCCCCAACCCCATACTGCCCGTTTCTATCTCCTTCCTAAAATCCACAAACCCAACTGCCCTGATTGAAGCATTGTCTCCACCTGCTCCTGCACCATCAAACTTATCTACACCCATCTCTACTCCATTTTCTCCCCCTGGTCCAGGAACTTCCCACCTACGTCCGTGACACCACCCACGCCCTCCAACTTCTGATTCCCTGGTCCCCAACACCTCATCTTCATGGATGTCCAGTCCCTATATACTTGCATTCCCCATGCAGATGGCCTAAAGGCCCTCCGCCTCTTCCTGTTCTGCAGGCCTGACCAGTCCCCCTCCACCGACACCCTTATCCGAACTCATCCTCACCCTTAACAACTTCTCCTTCAATTCCTCCCACTTCCTACAGACAAAGCAGGTGGCCATGGGTACCCACATGGGCCCAAGCTATGCCTGCCTCTTTGTAGGTTACGTGGAACAATCCCTCTTCTGCAGCTACACTGGCCCCATCCCCCACATCTTCCTCTGTTATATCAATGACAATATCAGCACCGCCTTGTGCTCCTATGAGGAGCTCGAACAGTTCACCTACATTAACACCTTCCACCTCAACCTTGTTTCCATCTCTGGAAACCGATATCTATTTCAAGCCTACCGACTCCCACAGCTACCTAGAATACATATCCTCTCTCCCACCTTGCTGCAAGAAGGCCATCCCCCTATTCCCAATTCCTTCACCTCTGGTCCCGAGAGGAGGCATTCCACTCCTGGACATCCCAGATGTCCTTGTTTTTCAAGGACTTCAACTTCCACTCCACTGGTTGAAAACGCCCTTCCCACAACTCATCCCTCACCCCCTCCTCGCAATAACAATAAAAACAGAATCCCCTTGTCCTCACGTACTACCCCACCAACCTCTGGATTCAATGCATCATCCTCCACCACTTGCGCCACCTGCAATCTGACTCCACTACCAAGGACGTTTTTCCCTCCCCACCCTTATCTGCCTTCCGGAGGGACCACTCTCTCCGTGATTCCCTTATCCGCTCCACACTACCCACCAGCCCCACCAGCCCCACCACCCCTGGCACTTTTCCCTGCAACTGCAGGAAGTGCTATACCTGCCCCTACACCTCCCCCTCACCCCCATCTCAGGTCTCAAGAAAACCTTCCACATTAAACAGATGCGCATCTGCTAATGTGGTGTATTGTATCTGCTGTTCCTGATGTGGCCTCCTCTATATTAGGGAAACCAAGCGGAGGCTTGGAGACCGCTTTGTGGAACACCTACGCTCAGTTTGCGACTCGTGACAAACGACTGCACTTCCCAGTCACAAACCACTTCAACTCCACCTCCCACTCCTTGGACGACATGTCCATCCTGGGCCTTCTCCAGTGCCACAACGATGCTACCTGAAGGTTGCAGGAACAGCAACTCATTTCACTTGGGAACCCTGCAGCCCAATGGTCTCAATGTGGACTTCATAAGCTTCAAAATCTCCCAAAACCAGCCCAGCCCTGCCTCCCTGACCTGTCCATCTTTTATCCCAGCAATCCGCTCCTCTCACCTCAACTCCCGCCTCCTTGACCTGTCTGTCTTCCCTTGACTGACCAACCCCCACCCTAACTCCCCACCTACGCTCACCTTTACTGGCTCCATTCCCCTCTCCTTGTCCTGTCTGTCTCCTCTCCACCTATCTGCTCCTTTATCCATCTTCCATCCACCTCCCCCTCTCTCTACTTATTTCAGAATCTCCTTCCCCGTTTCTGAAGAAGGGTCCAGACCCAAAACGTCAGCTTTCCTGCTCCTCTGATCCTGCTTGGCCTGCTGTGTTCATCCAGCTCTACACCTTGTTATGTAGATTACAGTCAGTCATCTACATAGAGAATGTCTGTGACCATATGCCTAGGGAAGGAATTCTGGAGATGTGCGAGGATTTGTCGAGTTCCTGAGAACTATGTATGACTGTTTGTAGGACATGGGGGTTGAGAAATTACAGAAATCATGTAGTTTGTCACTGCCTGTTATTTTTTTGAACTGGTGCATTCTCTGTGGCAATGCCTCTGCTAATTAAAGTCCATATGCCCACCAATCAGAATTTTCTTTCTCTTCAAATTCAATATAAAAATATTGCATTCTACTTACATTAGTATTTCTTATGAATTATTGAGTGCAAGATGAAAAGCCAGGCCAACATGTATATCTTCAGTAATTCTTTAAATTTCCCTTGTTCATATGAACACACAACAGGGGTCAGCCACTCAGCCTTTTGAGCCTGCTCTACCATTCAGTTAGATCATGGCTGATTAGTTTTTAGCCTCAACTCTATATTCCTGATAATCTTTCATCCTCTTTGTAATCAAGATTCTTTCTCTGCTTTAAGAATATTTAATGATTTTGTATCCACTGCATTTTGAGAAAGGGAAATTCCAAAGACTCTGAACCCTCAGAGAAAAAAATGTTTCCTCATTGCTGTCCTAAATGAGTGCCCAGTTTTAAACCATGATCCCTAGTTCTAGACTTTCCCACAAAATGAAACAAACCTTCAGTGTCCACCTGTTCAAGTCACCTCAGGCTCTTATATGCTTGAGATAAGTTACCTCTGACTCTAAATTCCAGAGGATGCAGGCCGAATCTATCTAGACTTTCCCCATAAGACAGTCCATTCAGTCCAGGTATTAGTCCAGTGGAACTGCTTCCAATGCATTAACATTCTTCTGTTTAAAAAAAAGTGAACAGCACTCCAAGAGTGGTCTCACCAATGCCCTGTATAATTGAGTCTTAAACTCCATACTCTTGCATTTAGTTCCCCTCACGTAAAACAGAACATTTGATTATCTTTCCTGATCATATTCTTTTCATGCATATTAGCCTTGTGATTCATGCACTAAGACACCTAGATCTCTGCAATCTCTTACCATTTAGACAATATGCTTTTTTATTCTTTCTGCCAAATGGCTAATTTTAGTATTCCCTTTGCCATCATAAAATATTGTCTGGTTAAATTGAGTGCTTTGTCTGAAGCCATCAGAAGAAATAGACACCAGATACAATTAAAAATTGATGTATGAGATAACTTAAACTCGATTTTGCCATCAGTAATGATACAAGATGTGCCAGCAAATATCACTTCCTTGCAACAATCTACTCACTGATGCTCAATTTGGGTTCTGCCAGGGCCACTCAGCTCCTGACTTCATTACAACTTTAGTTCAAACATGGATAAAACAGCTGGGTTCCAGAGTTGAGGTGACAATAACTGACCTTGACATCAAGGCTGCATTTGATCAAGTGTGGCATCCAGAAGCCCTAGAAAAACTGAAGTTAATGGGAATCAGAGAGAAATCTCCATGCTCATTGGAATCATACCTGGCACAAGGTAAGTTTTGGTTCCTCAGGGTAGTGTCTTGTGTCTAACCATCTACAGCTGCTTCATCAATGATCCACCCACCATAAGGTCAGAAGTGGGGATGTCTGCCAATGATTACATAATGTTCCTCATCATTTGTGATT